GTACGAATGTTTGTAAATTAGATTATTTTATACTTTACACTTTACTTTTTCAAATTTGTGGTAAAGTATAAAATGATCTAATTTACAAACATGTATCCGTACCTTATCCGAAGCCATTTTTCGTTTATTTTCCTAATATTTATTGCAATAAATAATATTTTCATAATGAAACGACGGACATATTGTACGCTTTCTCGATTTTGCCGCTTGCTGCTTGCTGTTCGTTCGGTTCAACTTCAACGAACTGCGGCAAAATGTATTTTGCGCCGGAAGTGCGTCATCTAGCTTACATAAAATCCTTAACCAATAGTAACGAATTGCTGCTGCAGCGTGCTGCGCATGAAAAAGCACCTTAAGAGTCGTTGTCGAACACGTTGCTTGGTTCACGATGCGGCGTCGTAGGAGGGCACATGGCACCGTTGCATATTAAGTTTAACGAATTTATGAAAATGCGACAGCATCGGTAACCAATAGGATCGAGATTCCAGAGCGGTGATGCAGTAGACGCGCGCGGCGATTCGTTGGAACGTAACGGTTGAGCCCGAATATGGCGGTGTTGGCGTCCCACGTGGCCGCCACGTTAGTGTTACAATTGGAATAATTTGAGAGTTCACTTATAACCTTAGTAATTGCCTTTTACCTGTAGGTCCTCACAAATTACGATACGTTTGCAGCTTGGATCCTTCCTTGGTAGATTTGAATACTGGGCCAGTACTTCACGGACCTCGTGTTCGCAGGTGAAAGGAGTAAAATGAGGAAGCGATAATAGGAACGTTAAACAAGTTCTGTTCCGATTTCATAAAATACAATTATGTATATTTTATACTAATCGAGTTCAAGTACAAAAGAAAAATTAGAACATATGCTTACAGCGTAATTCAATTAAGTCAGTAAAGTTTTACAAGTTCAATCTTAGAATTAAGGATAATAGAATTATTACTAATCGCATTTATTACTACTTGAATTCTTATTATTGGAATATTGATAATCTTATATTATCAGGCTAATTATGATTAAAGATATAAATCCTCTTAGAAATAGTACTACAATTACGTGAATAAAGAAATAGAAAAATAATTATTTAATTCACTTATAACTAGAGCTTGTTTAAGTAAGTGTTAATTGAATTGTAATGCGTAAGAGAACCCGGTGTGGATTTGAATTAGGATATGAGAATGGATTTTGAAAATAGGAAAATTCACACGTGGTCTTACACAAAGGCGTCACAGGCGGTGTCCCTGGTCCCGGGAGAACGAACCGCACAGTTGGAGAGCTAGAATCAGAGAGAGCGAAGGACGCTTTCCCGAAAGGGTTGAGGATCCGTCGCCCTACTCCCACGCGTTTCAGGCCCTGTTACGCAACAGGAAGGGATGCTTGCGCAATAGGAAGGGATTTTAAGGCGGGTTCTCTTGTGACGACGTTCTCGTCAACGCGGTTCTTAGATTATTCGCATGTAAAGGCGGCTTTACACAACAAGATCGCGGAAAAATGTTGCGCGGACGTAACAATACTATACTAGATTGCTAACATCTGTGGATTAAAGCATCAGAAAGTGTGTGCGGCAGGATATCCGGTTTCAGCCATGTTCGACCGCAACAAAATGGCGGCGAGCATGCGCATTGGTGCATAGATGTGATTTCTACTAATACTATTGCGCGATTCCATTGTCGGTGTGATTTCGTTGCCGCCTTACCGGTATATAGTAGTATTTGTTTGAAAAACGCATTCTTAAGTAAAGAAAAATACAATGCCGAGCACTTGTTGTATTAAAAATTGTCAAAATAATAATAAAAAGGGATTTCATTTGTTCAGGTAAGTTAAATATATATTTGGTAAACGTGACACTTTATTATTTGAAGGTTATGTCTAAACTGCAAAGAATATATGTTTCAGATTTCCTCTAAATCGAAAAGATCATTTAAAAAAATGGACTAAGGCAATTGGAGAAAAAGAGTTCAAGCCATCTAAAAATCATGTTATTTGCAGCAAGCATTTTACACCTGATGATTTTATGGACAGACCGGGTACAAGCAGTATTCGTTTAAAAAATCTTGCCGTACCTTCCATATTTTTAAAGGCTTCAGTGACTGCTCCTATGATTGTAAGTACACTTGCTCCAACGACTGCTCCTACATTTGAAAATGCACTTGCTTCGGTCATACATTCACATATAGACAGACTTAGTACAAGCAGTATTTGTTTGAAAAATCTTACCGTACCTTCCATATTTTTAAAGACTCCAGTGACTGCTCCTGTGATTGCAAGTATACTTGCTCCAGCGACTGCTCCTACATCTGAAAATGTATTTGATTTGGCCATACATTTACAAACTGTGACTTCAGAAGTCACGAGTTTCAAGAGTTCAGAACAAAAAGAAAACGAAAATAATTTTACAGTCTCCAGCTTACTTTCAGAAAACACAGCTAGCATAAGTCCTATCGACAATACAATTAAGATGACATTGGTAAAGAAACGGAAATTAATGAATAATTCCTACTATCATTTAAAAAATCAGGAAATGAGTCCTAGAAAGAAGCAAATGAAAAGAATTATTCAAACATTAAAACAAAAATTGACAAGAAAAGAAAAAAAGATACAATCGTTGCAGTGTTTACTGGCAGATTTACGGTATGACATGTAATTTTGTAAATGCAAATATATTTGTAAGAAAATATTAATGAATTATAAAAATAGTAATGAATATAATAATAACTGTAATTGTAATTATATAATATAACTATAATTGTAACTGTAATAATTTCATTGTTAAATTTAAAGTATTTTCCTACAAATAAATGTGATGCATACATTTATCAACAGACAACCATTTTAGAAGCTGATCATGTATTGTCAAATTAAATATACATATTTAATAATTTTTTTTTCATAATATTAATGTTTCGTATTGAAAATTGATGAAAATATTGAAATTATTGAATATCAATTGATTCACTTTCATTAAGTACACCCAACGCATTCGATTCTGTTCTCCAGTAGTCATGTTGTCCTTGTTTTCACGTATGTATCTCTATGTATGAAACAAGGACAAGAGAGTATCGAACAATCAGAATCAAATGCGTTGGGTGTACACTAACCTAAGATTGCTTAGGTTGGCTGCTACAGCTGTGCTTGACAAGCACAGCTGACAAGCAAACAGCCATTTTGTTGCGGTCGAACATGGCTGAAACCGGATATCCTGCCGCACACAGCACATTGGCGACTGTTAGCAATCTAGTATAGTATAGACATTTGTGGGCCACACTCTGATATAGGGACTCTCATTTGGGCCTTTTCGTTCTCTCTCGTTTCGCGCATGCGTATAGCCATATACTCTGAGAGAGGGGATCGAAAGAAAGAACGAGTCGGACGAGAAAAGTTTCATCATTACATGACCGGACAAGTCTGATTGAGCCTGATCACTTTGGAATCAAACAAAGAATTGAGTTTGATAAGGTTAAGGGCTCTCGATGAATAATATCAATAAATATTAACGATAAAAATCTATTACTTATACCTCTATAATTCCAGTTATGCGAGCATATTGGCCAGCACCACCAGATTGTTTCTTATAAAGATAGTCAAATTCACATGGTTTAGTTAAGTCTCGCGGAAAAAAACTTTTGGCTTTGTAACGACCTAACTTTCGTGTGCTCGGATGTAGCTCGTCGGTTAATTCGCGTTCCAGGATACGAAAGAGGTTCGAACGGAGGAAAATGCAGGTTGAGCAATAATCTCGGACAAGATCTCTCTATACAATAAATCAGCTTTTATTCGCGTTGTCACAATTAATATGTATTTACAGTGAACAAGAAGAAAGCGAAAAAGAAACGCTAGACAGACAGAAAGAAAGAAAGAAAGAACGCCGTAAGAGCGGCTGGCGCAAAACAGGCCGTGTGCGGTGCGAAGCACGTCGTTCGGCGTGTGTGTGTATGTGTGCGTGTATGTGTCGTGTGCGTGCTATGCGCTCGGCGTGCGGGATCCGGCGCGTCGCTTATGATTTCGCGGACAGGTGTGCATGTGTTGGTGTGTGTGCGTTATGTGTTGGGCCGTTTAAAGCCCTGTGCCGTTTTTTCTACGCGAGTATTGCTTATCGCGGCCGATCAGCTGTATCGGTGCTATTTATAACTGGACTAGTACGGAAGTCCGTACTAGTCCAGCTGTATTTACGCGGTGTCTCGGCGTGAGTCAACGACGACCAGCGGCCGGGAACTCCCGGCGGAGGTGAAGAACTCTTCACCCCCTGTCGAATGCTGGTCAGTCGCGATGCAATTCGGTTCAGTGGCCGGCTTATACGACTGAGAATTCTCGACAGAGGCAGAGTATTCTCTGCCTCTCTTTTCTCGTCGTTCGGTGCCTTGTGGCTCTTGCTTGCCAGCTGAGAACTCTCAGCGGAGTCGGAGAACTCTCCAACCCGGTTACTATGGACTCGCAAGGCTCTAGGAAGTCGGAGTATCGGACGGATTCGTGTCAGGAACAGGAATGAATCTTTTCCGCTGTTACTGCCGAGTTTTAACGCTCGTCAGAACGCCTCGTTCGCGAGGCTTCGCTTTTGCTCGGTCTTTCCCATGGTGGAAGTATACATGGTGTGCTCAGAACTCGTAAACCACGCCCCTTTTCAACGCGGTTGTCACCGAAAAACATAGGGCGGCCAACTTAGAAAGGTTGGCAGTACTGAACTAGTAGTGTCTCTTTTATGCATGCGCCGTGGAGCATCTATCTCAGTCTGTCTTTAGCCGTCTCCTGAAAGAAACGTGCAGGCCTGTTATTTTGAAATTAAAGTGAAAATTTGAAGTAAAATGGTGCGGTGTATTGTTAAAGCGTGTAAGAACACCAACATAACGTGTACTCCGGAGGAAGTAAGCTTCCACAAGTTGCCGAATAATGCCATTATGCGTGAAGGGTGGCTTAAAAACATAGGAAGTGTAATTCCATCCAATACTCTAAATGGTAAGTGTTGATAATAGTAATATTTAATAACTTTAAGTCAAATTTATGTCAATGTTTATTTTTACTTCGATTTTGTTGAAACATTATAATATTGTCTTCTTCTGCTACTTTTTCTGAGACTCCAAAAATATACATTTTACTCGTATGCATACATGCACATTGAGTAAAATTGATATAGACAATTTATGTAAAATCTGTAAAGTGTTTTTCTTAATAATGTCTATTACTTATATTAAATTAACTACTAAAACTATCTGAAGCAAACTATCTACAGCTAGTGTCGAAGAAGACACCGATTCATGCTGCAATGCACATGTAAGCTTAATTTATAAGCTTAGCTTATTATGCACATGTGAATATAAGGCCTGTTCTTTTTACCGAACTGGTACACAGAGTGCAATAAGTTGAAGTGAAACAGATATACGTTTGTTTCATTTCAACTTATTGCACTGTATGTACCAGTTCAGACAGTGCAGGCAAAAAGAACAGGCCTATATACATACTTTAATTACAATTATTAGATATTAAAGTAGAGATGTCAATGTTTATATGCATTGTGTGTCTGTGTGTATACATGTGCTGCTTCCTAGTGTGATTTGCAACATAACAGCGCGAAATACCCACTATTCTAGGAATATTTTTTGTGGTGGCAGGCCTATGTTTTTCGGCGACAAGAAAAAAGAGAGTCGGGAGATTTTAGAATGAGACAACGCAAAACTAAGCACACCATGTATACTTCCACCATGGTCTTTCCCGCCGCTCGGTACTCGCGATGTGCGCGATTCCGAGCGGTGGGAGTTCGCGATAGCCGATCTATTTTCGCCTCGTTCGACGATGCTCGGCGCGGCGCGGCTGTTACTGCCACCCATGGTGTAATAAGAAAGGTGAAACGTTGCGCCGATGGGGGAGGAACTAATCACGTGATATTCACGTGACCCGCTGTATCTACCAATCCGGTGTGGAGCGAAAATGCATAATTCCAAATCTATTTTAATTCCAAATCTATTTTTAAGGGAATATGTATTAATATTAGAGGTGGCGAATGAGTGAGCTTGGTGTCATTTTGTAGCTAGGAAATAATAAAAATAAATCCAGAGGCACGTGTAAAATGACAGGTTCCCTAACCTGACGTACAATTCAAGATTTGTATCTTTATTTTTATTTCCTAGCTACAGAATCACTCCAAACTCACTTTTTCGGTAGCTGTATAATAGTAATAAATATTCTCTTAAAAAAGGATTACGGGAAAAATGATTGTTAAAACCTAGAACTTGGAGCAAAGTTTTCCTCGCTTTTGCACGCGCTCGAGGGCCCTTCAAATAATAACTCTACCGACATCGATGATTCAAATAACCAAAGTAATAAACAAGATTAGTAAGCCACTAGCAACAGATATAATTTGAGCATTTTTATTACATTTTTAATCAATATAAAAGTAACAATTATAAAATCAACGAATAAAGTAAAACTAACAGTAAACGAGAACAGTAATTATGCTACCACTTTATTAGTGATGTTTTTTAACTTTCTATTAAAATTTTGATTTTTCTTGCCTCTCAATAAATTAGTTTCTTTAATTTCTTGGTTCATTTGACCTAATTTTATATACGTTCTTGTCCGAACTAAACAATGTACAACCGGTCGCAATATACAATCTCCGCATCATGCGAGGTTGTACGTTTACCGTTCTAGGTTGTGTCATTTTATCTTCGAAGGAATCTGGCGTGAAATGAATTTGACATATTCCAGCTAAAAATAAAATTCTAACATTTTTCGTATATTTCTTTGAAATCTACATTGCAAAAAATAGCAATGAACTTTACAAATCTATTGTATTTTACAAGCATAAAAATTTATTTGGTTCTTACATAGTAAATGTCATTTACATCGTAAATTTACCATTGATGAGAAAAAGCGTTAATTATTTTAAAAATTGTTTGTCTTTTTGTGTTTGCATAATTAAAGGTTTAGACACATTTCTAAAACTCTTACAGAGAAATCACATTCGTGAATCGAATATGGTAAAATTATACAATTTTCTTTTACATTATAGTGAAAAATTGTTTTACCTTTGCTGAATTTAATTTCACCGTCGTGTCGTTGACAAGCATCAATCCATTGTTTTTGTAGTTTGGCATCTTTTGGAAAACTAAATAATTTTACATTTTCCAATTTCCTTTTCCCTGACCGACTGGCACAATGACGAACTGCACAAACTGGCATGATAACTGAAAAAATGAATACTGTTATTATATCTTAATATTTTTATTACGTTATTTACGTAATACTTTATCGGCAAGAAGCAAATATGTGTATATATTTGATGTACATGTATTTCTAAAAAAATTTGAGGTTAAGTCATTGTTATTGTTTTTATGTTTGTTAATATTATGTGATACGTATATAAATATACAAGACTAATACTTACAGTTCCAAAATACCGTGAATTGCCGGAAATAACTAATTTACTGTAATCACTTAATGTAATTACTTATAATAAATATTCACTACACATATATAGACCAACACAGCCTCATAGATCACACGTGATCACACGTATATGACGCACATAATTATGCAAAATCGCTCCAGCAGTGATTGGCTGTTTCGTTTTGCTACTGCGCAACTTGGAACGTTTCACCTTTCTTATTACACCATGCTGCCACCGTGTACCTGTGAATTATGCTTTTGAATTTATCGGGCGCTTATGCGCCTTCATCGCTGCATCGCGTGGCGCGGCGTCCGGCCGGGTGTTCTGGCTGGGACGATGGGGTGCATCGTTACAGCTTTCCAAGAATGACCGGACAAGCCTGATCTCTTTGGAATCAAACAAAGAATTGACTTCGATAAGGTTAAGGGCTATGGCAGAGAACGAGATGTAACATGCGTAGTCGTAACGTAAGGTAAGGCAGTGAAAAACGTAGCTGTCGTAGTAGTGACTGGCAGTTGGTCTGTTTTCTGTTCCTGCACTAGACTTAACTAGAACTCTTTTTCTCGCTTTCTACAAATATCAAACATATACCTATCTCACTTTAAGTTTTAAACGTGTACACTAGTTCAGCCACAGAAAACAGACCTAGTACTGGCAGTCACTACTACGACAGCTACGATTTACTCTGCCTTACCTTACGTTACGACTACGCATGTTACGTCTCGTTCTCTGCCATAGCCCTAAGGGTTTCCCAGTGCCCATGATATAAAGACAAGGGTATGCTCGTCCGGTGGTAACCCACTGCGCATCTATCAAAAATAGAGGGGATAAGCACGTGATTGTCACCAAATTACGTCACATTCGATTTACTTCGGTTAATTACGGAGCGGTTCGAGTTCGGGTAATATGGCCGCAAAAACGATCGCGAGCACAGTAATAGTGTATGTGCGTAAGTAGCGTGTATATTTATCATAAAGTGATCGTGCGTGATAACAATGAATTGCGCAGTAAATATATTTCTTGAATTTTTTACAACAATGTTTTTAAACCTATAATTATTTCTTATTTGTTCAATTCAAACATAATAAAATATAATTTCTTACAATCGCTCATAATATTGAATGTTGTTTTAAAATTCTATTTTTCAATTATTGATTATGTAAAGTGGGTTTTATAAATCGCGCGCTTCTATAAGATAATGTTTACAACAATAATAAAATGAC